AATATATTTCCATGTCGGTATTATATACCTACATGATTTTATTGCACTATATGGAATAACTTTATTTAATTAAATATCTCCCTTTTGATAACTGTTAAAAAGTGCTAACTTCCTTGTGCTCTGTAAAATGATAAGGAATTGTGACATCTTGCAGAAAAAAATTCCACTGGCTATTTAGCAAAGCTGAGTGTTCTAATGTGCTAGATGTACCCACTGAAATGAGAACCAAAGATATTTGGTTCATAATGCATTGTATTCAGTCTCCTTTGCTTAAAAACAAACACAATGCAATTTTCGTTATTGAAGTAACACATGGAATGACAAAAGATGTTTGTAAACAGCCCATTAGACAATCATTTTGCATATATACTCTAATCCAAGGGTTTGGGTTGACTAAACATTTTATATTTATTTATTACTATTTTTAGGAAAATTACTATTGAATTGTTTCAACAGGTACAAAATATATCTAAATTATCATTTCTTTCTAGGACTGCACATTGTGAAAGACAATTACATACTCTTTATTTTTTAAAACCAATGCAAATAATAATAATCTTCAAACAAATTACTTTGCTAATTGTATATCCTGCATCTGAAAAGGCAAGAAAAGCCATAAAGAGTACACAAATGTTACCATCATGTTGGATGCAATGTGCAAAAATATTAGTAATGCTTGTAAACATAAAAAAACAATGGTTACTTTTATTGATTTTGGCCATGAAACTGAAGAGATAACTGGGGTATTAATTATGACTTATAATGATTGTAAGACTTCATTGCTACAGGAAAAGGGGCATAAGCTGTAGTTCAAGCTTAGTTAAAATATTTACACAAAACATGAGGAATTAAAAGTTTTTATTAATAGAAGATATGCATGTAATGATATGATAATATATGTAAGAATTATGTGCCAATAAATGCCTCCATGTGAAGGGAAAAATAGTAATGTTATTCCTCATAAATGGATGGCCATACACCAAATGTGTGTGTGTGTGTGTAAAATTTTAGGCTGTCAGTTTGACAGTTAAATCTAACAGCATGTTCTATTTTAATATATTTTAGCATACAGAATTCAGGACCTACATAAGTTCTGGTGCATGCCATAAGTTCAAGCCAATAACAAATATGTAGCAAAAACTTCTGATGGTTATATGTTTCAGAAAGCACTCAAGTTTTGGTTCATTTTTTGAAATCCTACGCTGTTAAAATATGTGTAACATCCATTGTCCTAACTATAATTATTAAGTATGAAAAAAGATGTTGCATCCAAACTATCAATTCCCTTACAAATCTTAAAATCCTTAATCAGAATCCCTCTAACTTTTTTTTTTTCAAGAGAACACAATTTCAGATTTTAACTTGCCAGCATATACAACCTTTCTATCCCATGCAGGTATTCCATGATATAAATCAATATGAGAAAACGTCCTAACATGACCTCTGAGGTATCCCACTTTTCACATTAACTCATTAATCGAGTTTGACTGAACTTCATTTATCATCAAGCGTTCTTCTTCCTCCCAGCTATTTTAATTTTATGATTCAACAGATAAATTTTTAACGACTCTGAACAAGCCTTTTGTATAGCACTTTGTGAAATGCTTTCTGAAACTTCTGATACACAAAATATATATCGCGGCAGTTGTTTTGGTTTGAGCGATCTTTGGTGAATTAGGATACTTTATTAGATGGGAATTCTGATTTCGGCGGGTCTTTTTGTCATTGAGTTGTAGAAAAGCCGCCAAGAAAGTCGAAGTAAGAGAGAGAGAGAGGAAGAAGAACTCGCCTACTTGTAATGGCACGTCGAGTATCCAACACAAAAGCAAGATTTAAGGAAGATGATTAGCACTTAAATACCGGAAAATGTGGCATCCGTAGTAGTACAAAAGGGAAAAATTAAAACCCCTTTCCCCAAAATAAAAAATACAGAAAACAGCATGTTTAATAGTTTTTACACAAAACTAATAATATTTGTTTTCCATCTTTGAGTTATTACCAATGTCATTATTACGAAACTCTGCGTAGTTGGTGCAGTGATAAAAGAAGGGTCAAAGTACAAATACATAGTAAGAGGACGACATTATTTTTTTAGGTTTGACAACAAGAAGTTTTACCCGAGAGCGTAATACGTTGTAAAGTTGATAGGACAATGTTATTACTTTGGTCGAAAAAGACACATTTTTTTCGAAAACTATTTGTTAATTTTAACACATGCTTTCCTCCATCTACATTAACAGTGTTTCGGAAACTATGTTCAGAAATTGAAAGTAACTTTAGTAAGTCTACTTCATTATCTTTCTCCGCAGCGAAACATGGGTCGTTCTACCAAACTCCGCCTAAACTAAGCAATCAGTATCTAGAGGATACGTCTTTACTGAGATACCTGAAAAGAACTCTTCCTCAGGAGGTAAGAAGTGATTGTTATGATATCAGATAAAAAGAGTTTAGGCATGCGTATTTAGTATAAATCGACAATATGAACTCATATCAATAACTTAAAATTAAATAACCTCGTGTTTACAAACTTGGAGTCTGATATACGTTTGACATTCCATATTTTGCATCTTCACCGTTATGAAAAGCCAAACCAATCAAACAACTGTACTATTAACTGCTACATAATATTTTAAAAATCATTATACTTATTGTGGACCTACTCTGTCTGGTACTCACGTAGAATGTTAAGTTTGTTTGTAATTAAGCACAAAGCTACATAATTGGCTATCTGTGCTCTGCCCACCATGGGTATCAAAACCCAAATTCTAGTGTTGTAAGTCCGCAGACATACCGCTGTGCCACCAAGGGGCAGAAAAGGCAATTCTTCACTTTTCGTTTATGTTCATCACAATAATGTGGTTTTGTTTCTGATTCATTCTGAATCTTCGATAGCATCTCCTTGGCCTGTTTCTCAAAATGATTAAAGTCTCTGCAAATAGCCTGTAGAAACTGTTAAAGATTTCATGTGGTCTACAACACTCTTCAGAATAAGTTCTTCAGTTTGCAGCAAGATATTAACTTGATGCATGCATTCCACATCATCACTCCAGAATACACAAAGGAGAACTGTTTCTAGTTCACACAATGCATCAGAAATATTTTTAGCTTCTACACAAGTGTCATATTCAGTGTGTCAATGATACAAACATAATTCACTTTGAATGTTTTCATTGCTTCATACCTTGCAGATCATCTTATGTCAGAAAGTGACTTCAATTGAATCACTTTGTCATTTCCGGATTGTGACTTCAATGTATCATTCATTAGTTTCCATCTATAAGTAGAACCTGACAGAAATGCATATAACTTCTGAACAATTCCAAAAAGGAGACAGCTTCTACACTACAATTAGTCACTGTTCAATCCACTAGGTTGAGTGATTGAGCAGTACAGAGTGCAAATAAAGCCAGAGGATTGTATTGTCGAATCCTGCTTTGCACTCTTTGATATTTTTCTGGCATATTAGAAGCATTGTTATAGCTCTAAGAGCGACAGTGTTCGAGTTCAAGACCACAGTTGGACAAATATTATGTTATAACATTAGCTGAATTTTCTTTATGACTAGATATGGGTACAAATTTAAGAAATCTCTGCACAGCTACTAAACTATTGGGATAAACATATCTTACAATAAAAGTCAGTTGATCAACGTGTCAATCTGGGGTGGAATCAACTCTTATACCAAGATATTTAGATATTTTTTACTTCATCTACAATGAGATCCAGGATCTTATCTCCAAGTAAATTAGCAAATTCAACACAAATGGTTGAAAGCAGATATGACACATGACTGCATCCACAGTTCCCATATTGTTCTATGTGATTTGCCAGGAATGCTTCATATTTTACCAACAACTCTAGTATTTCAATACATTTCCCATTGCCCTCTTAGAGCAAGTCCACATTGACCCAGAAGAGAATGACATCAATAACACATTGTAATAAATATTTCCAGTACATAAGCTTTACTGAATGCAGTTTCCAATCATATTTTCCTTGAATGATTAAACCAGTGACTTAATGTCTCAGAATGATTACTACTAATTTCATGAGATGATAGCCTAGCTGATGCATTCTACCAGTCGTTAAATCCAGTAACTAACTGGTCATAACATGAAGAGGGTGAGAATAATTTGCACACTCTACAATAAATAATTTCTTTTTTTTCTAGAACACTAGCCAATATCGATCAGCATATTCTCCATTGAAAATTTTTGTTTGAACATAGATTTAGAAATGAATCATCATTTAGTTGACTGTCATGCAGTATAATTCACAAAAATCTGGAGAATCAAAACTAATATTTTGAGGAATGAGGCCCATTTAAATGAAATATTCTGTCAGTTTCTCACTTACAATCCAGTCAGCAGGATCATAACTAAATATTTCATAAGTAGATTTTGTATATCTATTTCGCGTGTTGCAACATCCTCACCTTGTTGTTCAACATTTTCTGTCTCCACTGCATTAGGCACAGTAGGGAGCTCTGCTGCTGATGGTTCTGTTGTCAAGGGTACAAACACCAAATCCTGTCAGTGGCCTCACTCCTTCGATAGATGCTTTTGATTTCTTTTCACATTGTTTCCATTTTTCAGCACCATTAAGATAAATACATTTTATTTTCAGATCTGAAAAAAAATAAAAAATAAAGTAAGAAATCTGTCTGTCGAACTGAGCTAAGATTTTTATTTTGAATAAAGCAGATATGGTTATTTTTACAACTGTTCTACAATGCCAAGTTTTAAAGAAAAATTAAAATAAATTAAAATTTGAAATACCAGTACAAAAATGCTAAGTTTCACTGTTATTAAAAAGTGCATGTCCATGGTAAGCAAATGTTCTTTTGATTGACTGTATTCTTGGTTTGGCTGGTAAGTCATTGCTTTGTAATTTCTTAATTCCATAATACATGTCTTTGTATTCTTTCTGCACATTTTGTTGATAATAGAGGAATGAGTGGATGAGTAGTATCTACTTCAGTGGCAGCATATAAATTATGAATTTTTTGATCAAGAACACTTTGCAGGTCTTCTAAACTTTTGCCAATAACTTAACAGCACGTTTGTGGATGGTAAACAGTGGCAACAAGTTTGTGTCTGCTGCTATATACCATGCGGTGTTACCATATAACATAGTCAGGAGAACTGCAGTTTTGAAAAAAAAAGATCATCTCTTCTTGGTTGTAACACTTCTTTAGTTCTTTGAGTTAATATATTTTACTGTTACACTTTTGAGTAGTATATTCAATATATTTTTGAACATAAGGCTTCAGCCTGTCATTGCTTAACAGACACAGGAGGATGTAGCTTAAGGATAAAATTTGGCATTCAAATCTCAAAACTTTTATATGGAACCTTAATCTTTTTTTTTATTGATGACCTTGGGGGCCCTAAGGTACGTGCCTACTCGGCCTATTGGGTAATCTGGCACAGCTTACTTGATCTAAATGTCATGCATCCTCTAGCAAACATATAAATTAAAACAAAGAAAAGGTAGCTTACATCACTAGTTACTTCCTGAGTTGTGGAGTCCTTTGAACATTACTAGCACACAAATAAAACAATACAATAAAGTGATCATTCACCAAGTCTTTTGGGTGATTTTAACGTCTGACACCCATGATATGCAGATGAGCTCACCTATTTTCTCTTATCATCACTGACTTTTTTTTCATTGGAAAGTCCTTCCTTGATAAGTGATAGAATGAATTCACTGGCATCTCCATTGCTGATGACTCTTTGGAAGTAGTCTTGATAGGAACCTTGGGCTCCTCAGCAGGTTAATCTTTCAATTGCAACTTATTTTCTGAAATCACCCAGTTGGCTATTCTCTCACCAGTATATTTCCAAAGATCCTTACAATGGATGACCTATCTATGGAGGACCACCTATTTTTTTGGATTCTGTAAACAAAATCATTAATTTCTAAATACAATATATCATCTTTCCCAACACTTTGAAGTACATCATTTCTTGTGTCTTGTGGCAGGGATTGCACAATCATACAATATCACTTCAATGGAGTACTGTCTTATCAGTATTAGTACCATAACATTTTTTATTAAATCACTAGCAGATTTAAGTCTTTCCTAGGTAAATTCTAGAATGACATCAATGATGTCCCTTAATTTTTTTACATATTCTATGTAAGACTCTGCTGAGTGACTGTCCTCTGAATATAAATACAGCAGATCCAAAGGCATTTTAAGCTCCTTCCTAAAGATCAGTAATGATGGTGTATTGCCTGTAGCTTCATATTGTTACGTCTCTGTTTTGTTAATTGATTTTTTTTCGTAACTTCGTTCCAACGAAACTTTAATGACACAAGTCTTTACTTAATAAAACTGGTTTATTCTTTCCGAATATAACTCTGCGATACACTTAATCTCAATATTCGTGCTAAAACAACACTGTAACGAACGAACGTTAACTTCAACAATACTCTGTGACTGCAGTTCAATTACTCACTATCTACTCACACGCATTACCTTACCCTCTTTTATATACC